CTCCTGCCTCAGCTTCCTGAGTAGCTAGGACTACAGGCTCATGCCATCATGCCTGGCTAGCTTTCTAACATTTTTATAGAGACAATGGTCTCCCTATGTTGCCCAGGATGGTCTCAAATTCCTGACCTCAAGCAAGCCTCCCACCTGGGCCTCCTAAAGTGCCAGAATTACAGCCATGAGCTACCATGCCCAGCTGAAAAGTTATATTTAAATTAATTAAAATTAACAATTCAGTTTCTCAGTTTCACTAGTCACATTTCAAGCACTCAATAACCACAGATGACTATAGTTACTGTATAGGCCAGGGCAGTTCTAGAGAATAGTGACAGCCTTGAATCTTTGTGCCTAGGCTGGTGCTATTCAACAAGACAAAGGATTTGGAAGTCAGTCCATCTGCCCTTAAAATATAAAAGGAATATGCAGTTTTAAGATCATAAATATGTGTTCAGAAAAAAGACAGATGGTGTGTGTGAGTGTATGGGTTCTAAAAGACATTGTGAGGTGAGACTTTGGGCCCTGAAAGTCCAGAAGGGTTTCCATAGTAGTTGGGGGTGGGGATCTCGTGTAGGGCAGAAGCCCAGTGTCAGGAAGGTGCAGGGTTTGGGTGGAAAATGAAACTAAGAGACCTGTAACAAATAGTGGGTAAGAACATATGCTCTCAAGTCATGCTCACTAGGTATGAATCCTGACTCTGCTACTGCCTAACTGCTTAAACTTGGGCAAATTATTTAACTTGCCCTTTCCTGTTTATTTGGTTATAAAATAGGGATAATATTTCATAGGGATGTTGTATTAAATGGACTAATAAATATATAAATCATTCAGAATAGTGCTTATGACTTAAGTACAGCTGCTATTATCTGAGGATGACCATTTGCTCTTTGGGGTGTACATATAACAAACTAACCAGAGCTATTTGATTTAGAACTTATATCTTAAAGCACTAAGCCTAAGTGTATAGCAACCAATTTAAATTCTAAATGCAGAACCATTTCTCAACATTTCTGAGCCATAATTTACCCACTTGAAAATTTTGAAAATTATTTAACTTCTTTCAGAATATTATAGTAGAAATTAAATGAGCCTATTCAGGAAGCAGTTGCCTTCTACTTATTATGTATAGCTTTGGGAAAGTTACTTGTTTCTCTGAGCCTCAATTTCCTAATCTGAGAAATAGTTATCACCCTCTTTGGATCAAATACATAATATATGTAAAATGCTGAGCACAGTTACTGTCATGAAAAACGGCCATTATTATTCTTTAAAAAGACATTAAGTCTTGGTGGCTTAGAGACCTCCAGAAGCTTAGCAAAATGGTCAGATTAATTAAAGGTTTATCCACCTTGAAGTTTAGAGGCCCTTGTGTTTCTAAGCCCTAAGACACTTATGCAGGCTGGGACCAGAAAGAATACATTTTTACTTCCTTATACCTGTGGTTTTAGAGGGTAGACAAACAGGAACCTCAAAAAAGAATAAGCCAGACAACCAACTTATGTGAAGGTAGAGGGTTGTTTACAGAAGCCAATGCCTTAGCAATGACTCCATGATTTTTCTCTCTTAGAAATTAACTGTACTGAATTTAAGCGGATAATGAGAAACAATTTAGATATGGAAAAGATAGCTTGCATTTCATCTTGTTTCAACAGGTACTAAAAGTACACAGTTTGTTTTTTTATCTTTGCAAGAACAGATTTATTTATACATTTTAATTCTACTCATCTTTATTTCTACAAAATTTCATGGTGAATAAGATGTACTGATTACCATCTTTAAAATAATGTATCTTCATTTGATTCTCAACCACTTATTCATGATTATTCTCTAGCTGTGGGTCATAGAGTTGTTCTTTTAAGATACTAGAGAGATCTTAACACTTTTCACTCATTTACTGTAACTTTTACAGAATTAAAGATCTTCATGTTTGTGTAACCATTCAGAACCTCCATTCTCTTTCTTAGTCACATGGTCATCTTCCCTGTGTGTCTTCTGCCTTCAAACCTCTCCTTATCAGGACACTAGTCAATGGATTTGGAATCTACCCTAATGATCCACCTCATCTTAACTTCATTACTGTACATATATCTAAGTTTACATTCACAGATGGGGGATGAGAGTAGGACTGCAACATATCTTTTTTTTTTTTTTTTTTTTTTTTGAGGGGAGAACACATTTCAACCCACAATGGGTTGCTACTATTATGAGACAACATATAATGTATACATTGCCACATTGCCTCAAAAGTATAATGAAAATGTATCATTTACAAATGAAATTTGTGCTACCCACCAATTTCTCACCTCTAGCTTTATCCCACTAGGGAGAAAATGCCAGCCAGTATTAGACGTGCAGAAGATAGGCATGCACAAGAAAAGCATATTGGAGAATACAAAGGTTAACACTGAGCTCCTACTTTATATCCAGTTCTTTGGTAAGTGCTAGGGATACAAGAAAGAAAAAGGTACCAATCCCTGCTCTGGGGGAGCTCATCCTGGTAGTCTGGACTGGTTCCATGACTTTGGTCATAGTAACAGCCTTGTATTCATAAAGTGAGCAAACCAGTTATCCTCATCACCTTAATAAGTAAAAGAACTTAGAGACAGTCATTACAGATTGATCATACACCACCCATTTCAACAAAATCTGTAAAAGTTGAGGGGATGAGGATGAGTTGCCGAAGATGAATTAAGGTTTTTTGAAGTTAGTTACTCATATATGGCTTCGGAACCCTAGGGGAAAGCAAAATGGAAAGCAAATCAGATGAAAAGAGGGTAAGGTTCTTGCCAGCTATCTTGATTCCCTTGCTTACCCTTACCCTTCACCAACATTTGTTCTGCTTACGTGCTCTGAGGTGTGAACAGAGCACCTTAGAGTGAATTGCCATTTCAAGTCATTATTTCCAAACATTCTGAACATGTGTTACATAATCATAAGATAAAAGAAAGCAATAACTATTGTCAGAGTCTAAACACCTCAATTTTATAGGTGAAACAAAGATTTTAGAATATGACTCGATTAGGGCCATGTAACTGTAATAGTACTGTAAGCTCCTTGAGAGTAGTGACCCTATCTGGTTTTGGTGACGTTTATATTCTCAGAGACTTGTATGTGCCTAGCAGGTAGTATTCAGTAAATGCATATAATGGAATGAAACAATTTGAATAATGAGTCAGAAATACACCTTTTAAATACTTTTTCTACTGCCATGATGATTTCACATTTTTGAACAGGTTTAAGATTCTAAATTTTAAAAAAACTTCAGGTTAGTCTAAGAAATGTTGACATCATCATTTACACACGTGCTGTTAAAAATTATTTAAGAGAGAATAGTTTGTGCTACACACTAATAGTCTTGGCTTCTGCTCTCAACATTTCCTGATCTTTTTACCTCTTTTGCATTAGATAGAGGAAGAAAGAAGCTAAACCAGATTTTGCTGCCTGTTCACCCAGTAAGCCTTTTACAATAGCTGTTATTTGGTCCCAGCTGTTGTGCTAAATTTAGGTTTTTGGCTTATCTGTAACTGTTCTGTCTCCCATTACCAAGGTTAATTGCAAAGTGATTGTAGAACAAGTAAAACTTCAGTTCATTTTTTAAAAACTACATAATACAGTATTCAATAATATCAAAGTCAAATCCACTGGGATTTAATATTTGTAGCATTTTATAGATTAAAGAACTGTTGCCATTTGTCAGTTTCATCTTCATGATGCCAGAACATTTCAGAGAAAATGAAATGTTACCCTCCTGAATGTTCTCTCTGCTCTGATTAGATACAATCGTGGAGTTAAGGTTAACAATTTCAGTTGTACATGTTATTTTACTGTACATATCTAAGCAGTAGAAAATGTTGCTTTTTAAATATTTCATGCTTTTTTCATAAGAACTTTATCTGAGGCCCCCAAAAAAATAGAACTGTCAATCTTGCACTTTATAAAACTCTTCTGATGTGAAAATAATAGGCTCATTGTTAAAAAAAAAAAAAAAAAAGAAAGGCACAAATAAAATTGCCTTAGACTTGTCCTAGTACTTTCCTGTTGTGATCCTTTTATGCAAAATTATATCTAAAAAAAAACTTTTTCTAATGAAACCAAAGAGCCTTGCAAATTTTTACCTGTCTCCATTTGGGCTCATGCCCCAGATGTACTTTGTCTACAGATTGAGTAGCTAATAGCTGCAGCGCTTGTTAAGATTGGGTTTTTTTAAGTACAGCAGATTCTTGTCATCTGTTTGTGTTTAAATGACGACAACATCACAACACGAAATGTCATCATGTCACATTGCTATAGCACAACAACAAAATTACAGCTCCCCAACAATAACATGCTGTCAAAGTGTCCTCCTGCCCATGAGTCAGTGTTTTAGAAGTTATGAAGATTATTTTTAGCACAGCCAGTGTCTTGGAAGCTTGGGTTCTGAATCCTACTAAAATCCTTAGTGATTTGGGAAAATCTAGGGTGGGGGTGGGCTTCCTGTTCTTAAATTATCCCACTCCCTGACCCGCATAGCTGCCCACCCTCCTGTCCCGGCCACATTACACCCGGGTTCCATTATGCGCTGCAATCCACTTGGGGCTCGATCACAACTCTGCGCCAGCATCCCGTGTGGAGGAGGAGGAGGAGGAGACTATAATTATCCTCCACGTCTGGGGCAGGCCCTTGGATGACATCTCCCCAGTTACCCTGCGCTCTAATAGCGCAGCTCCTCCGATTCCTAGTCTCAGAATCCAGGCGCGCCTGGGCCGGCTGGGGGAGCAGCCGAAGTGCCTGGGACCTCTCAGGCTTCCCGTATTCCGCCGGTGCCTCCCGGCCGCCATCTCCAGCGCCGTCGCACCCGCCGAGCACCTGCACCGAAAACCCGGTCCCAAACTAGCGCCCCGGGGCGAGCGGCGGCATTGCCATAGCAACTGGGCGCCAGGGCCGCGGAGGCCGCCGGGGAGGAAGTGACGAGCGGAGTGGGTTGGCTGTTGTCGGGACACGTGACCCAGGCAGTGTTTTGACAGGGCAAACAGCAGAGAAAGAACTGGCCGAGCGAGGGGGACGGGGAGCCCGGGCGCCAGAGCTAGAGACAGCGGGCGGGCAAGGAGCTGGCAGAAGCTCTGGGCAAGAGGGCCGGCTGGAGATACGGGCGGGGGAAGCCCGGGGGCCGCGGGGCTCCGGTGCCAGTCAGGCAGGGCGAGGGGCTGAGCGTAGGGAGCGGAGCGAGGCGGTGGCTGAGGCGCGGGTGGATGGCCACAGGGGCGCCGGGGAGCCGCTTCGGGCTGGTCGTCTCGGGTCCCCACGGTCCCCTGAGGCAGCCCCTGGGGCCGCTGCGCTCCACACTCCGCTCCCGCCGGCCCTGCGCCTCTCGGAGCCTGAGGTCTGAGGTGGGAGTGTGATGTGAGCCGCTGGGCGAGCGGTGGAGAGAAGTGCCAAGAGGAGGCGGGATTGGGACGAGAGAGGAGAGCGAGTTAGTCAGCAGAGGTCGGCCGAGGGAGCCGAGGAGCCGGCCAGCCCGAGAGCGCCATGAAAACAACTCTCCGGCAGGGAGAGGGGCAGGCGCGGCGCTCGGTGCGGCGGGGCTGAAGGAAATCCGGGGCCGCGGCGGGACGGAAGGGGCTGCGCAGAGCAGGGGGCAAGCCCCCGGCTGTAAACACCTCCCCCGGAGCCGGCCGCGGAGGACTGGTTGGGAGTTGGTAGGGTCGCCCCGGGACAGCCCGGAAGAGTTCGTTTGGGGCTGGGGGCTGGGCAGGAGGAGGTGACTCGGGTTTCTGTGTAAACTTGGCCGCGGTTGCCGCAGGAAGGCTAGCCAGAGGGTAATTACACAGGTGAGGCCCGGCGGGGCGGGCGGAGCGCTCGGGAGGCGCAGGGGACTGGAAGAGTTGGCTGCGCCCAGGCACCAGGTGGAAGAATTTCCATACCAGCCCTGCGGAGGTGCCTCTGTTGCCAGAGGCGTTTTTGTACGAAGGGGTTAGTTTGTGTTGCTCGAATCTTTTTCTTCTTCTTGCCTGTACCTCCAGGTTATAAATAGATCCCGCTTTGGTTCAGAGACTGTGTGTCAGAGGACACATTGGCCTGGAGAGCACAGAGGCAGGGAAGAGGGTGCTCGATCCGGAGGAGATGGGGGAGGCGGTGCAAAGAGAGTTTTGCTTTTTTCAGACCAGCCGAGGGTGCTGTCACCGCAGTTGGTGCCAGGAAGAGGCCTAACTTAACAGTAGTTTACTTGCAAGGTCCGGGTATTAGAATAGGGCCAGATTAATTTTATTTTTATCTCTTTCAGCATTTTGAAAACGAAGCAGAAGCCGTAGAATCAGCGGCGAGCCTGTTGAAAGAACCCACACGTGCATTTCACAGCACTTTGGGTGAAAATTGGTTGTGAAAATGAAGCCAGACCGAGGTAAATTATTTAAGTAGGGCTTGTTCCCCCACCCCCTTCTTTTCTATGCCTCAATTTAGAAGTGTTAACCTAATTCTGCAGTAGGATCAACTATTTCTGTATCATATGTGATTATCTGTTTTTGTGACAGATTCCAGCTGGTGAGGTAGAGAAAGGCATATGGAAGAGAAGGTTAAGCTTTTTTAACAAAAGTGCTTCTGAAACCGTAGCTTCAAGAGAGATTCTAGTGTATCTCAAAATGAAAGTAAAGAACGGTATTTGTATCTGTTGCCACAATACAGGTATTTTAGAGTTGTACTTGCTCGTTTTTAGGCAGTCAATTAACTTCAGCTTTCAAGAAGTTCATAAGCTTTTTAAACTTGAATGTGAACTTGATAAAATGAAGAGAAAACTTAAGATTTTGAGTTGATAAGTATTATTTTATTACTACTTTGATTAGTTGATTTTTGTGCTTTAAGCAAACTCCAAAAGTTTGCAGAGTACTCCAGTATTCAGTATACCAGCATATGGACAGTTTGGGCCACTGAAATCCCTAGTGATAAGTAAATGTCACTTCCTTTTTAAACCTGTATTTTCAGGATTTGTAAGAATATTATATACACTGTTTTTCAAGGATTTCAAGGTAATTGTTTAATCAGTCTTCTGATTAATGGCAAGAACCAATTTTAGAAAATGTTAATATAATAATGGTTAGTAGTGAGAGCTTTTCCGTCAGATATGAGTTTGATTCCAAGGAACACTGTGAAGTGGGGATTATTTTATTTGGTAGGGGGCTGGACTAGATGACAGATTTCCTTCCAAATCCAAGTCTTTAGGATTGCAAATATTAATTTATCCAACGAATTAGATGCTTATTTTAAAATTTATATATATTAAACTGGTTATTTTTCCATATATTTTTTCAAAGTAATTACAAATTCTCTGGGTAAAATAGGTCTATTGAAATGCACCAGAAGGAATTGGAGAAAACCGTACTTAATTTAGTGAGTTAAATTAGTTTTAGGTGTTGGCTATGATATACAATTAGGCAGCAGCTATGTGTGTATCAAGTATTAGTAAGTGTATTGCTCATGAGCAGGTTCCTTGTGTAGAATATACCAAGTTTAGATTTTTAGATTACATCAATGACTTTGGAAAAATGGCACCAAGGTTAGTAATTGAATCTCAGAATAAACAAGCAAATAAAATCAAAGTCACTATTTATTTTGAATTGTTTTGAAAAGTTGCTTTACAGTCATAAGCAGTTTTTGAAATAGTATTTGCAGCCAAAACGAGTGTTAAACACAATAAAATGTTTAGTTGTGTACTGATACAGATTTTTAGGGCAAACAAATTTATTCATCAAGATTTCCAAAGAAGTTTTCACCTTAAAAATTATAGCTTTCTTTAGCATTCTCAGGTAAAGATGATGGGATTGTGAGTTTAGTATTGTGATTATATTCCATAATAATAACATAAACCTTTAGACCCATGGCTTTTTTTTTTCTTTTACTAAGACCTGTGTAAGTAATCTTTTACTTAGCAAACTAGTACAGAAATACTGAAATAAGCTTTTCACAAATGTACTTACCCTTACTGTGCGCAATGTAGTGTTGTATTTTCTATTCTGTTTTACGTTTTGAAAAATTGCTGCCACCACCCATTGAATTGATTTCTTCACCAATTAATGGGTCATGATGACCTGCAATTTGAAAGGCACAGTTATGGACAACTCTTAACAAGAAAACAGTTATACTTCATTTTTTTTTTTTAAACTACATTGGTATCTAAAGAACTATCCTATAGAAATTACTTTTCTGGATAATTGAAACTTTTTAAACGTCAAAATATTTTCAGTTGTAATCATGATATATGGAGACATTTTAAAAATGTTCATGCTTCTGGTTTGAGATTTTTTTTTGTCTCTAGTTTAAACTATCTCAGCCTATCTTTTTTATTCTGATTTTTATGTTCCCTGGATGTCAATAGTTTTTGTTAATATATTTATCCTTGCCACCTTTTAATTTTCCTGCTTTTAGTCTCTAAGCTAGAGAATTAGATAACTATACTTAACACTAAGTTTTCTATAAGATGAACATAAATAGGAGAACTTCTCAGCTACTCATTCAGAATGTGAGTAAAGTGTGAATTTTAATGTAGCGACTCAGATACTAGTTTCGTGGGACACAGCTGTACCTCAAAGAGTTAAAGTTTCTAAATAAATACAATAGCCTCTTATCCTACATGATTGAGTGTTATAGTTGGTTGGCTAACAGTAAAAGTCTAAGGTGGGGGTCAGGAAAAAAAGCTTAATTCTTTTTCTATTGACTGTCTGTTTTTATGGAAGGTATGGGGAGCATTGGTCAATTCTGCTCTCTATACCCTCCATAAAAACAAACTGATAGCCAATAGAAAAAATTATCTGAAGATCAGGAGTTTCTACTATATTTTCAAATAAGATGTTATGGTATAGCATGATAGCTACATTTCACAATAGTCAATAGTATTTCACTGTAAAGGTAAAAAATTTAATTTTAAACAATAATATAACATTACTTGGGTAACACTGCCAAAGATGAGTCTTAGATGTTGTCATTAGCACAAGCTTTTGTGTTTTTATCCTTGTTCCATTATTTGCTTGCTCTCTAATCTTCATCACATAACCTCTAAGGGTCTCAGTTTCCTTATCTGTAAAATGGGAATAATTCCAACTTCTCACAGTTAGAATGAAATATGACAGTGCTTGGCACATAGCAGATATTAAATAAATAATAGCATTTATTATGCTAAATAAACACTATAGATGCTTATATATTGGTCAGTTATAAGATACACTCAACAGAAGAAATAATGAAATGTTTAATAACCTAACGCTATTTTGTTTTGTTTTGCATTCATAGTGTTCAACCTGCTAAGGCTCGAGCAGATTAATAATTTTTCAATATATAGTTATCTGAGAAAATATAAAAGCTACAGAAGGATACTTGCAGTATATGTATAATGTGTTTCTTTATATTGTCATTTGCTATTACAGTTATGACTTCTATATGTCAAGGATGACATGGGTGGACTAAGCTTTCTGGAATAATTAGATTTTTAAGTGATGTTAACAGCTGACTAGAGCTGGGCAGCTGGAAAATTTAATGTTATTCCACCTTTGACTCAGGGATGTACAAGTTTGGACCTGGTTCTAGATCTGTGTGTATATTGAATAGCTGGTGTTTCAAGAGAAGTCTAAAGTGTGGTCCATGGCCTGTTGCGGTGACTCATGCCTGTAATCCCAGCACTTTGGGAGGCTGAGGCGGGTTGATAGCTTGAGCTTGAGACCGAGACCACCTTGAGTTCAAGACCACCCTGGGCAACATAACAAGACCCTATCTCTATTTAAAAATAAATGTGGTCTTAGTGTAGAAGTAATTAAAAACATATTAGGTTATGTTGTAAATGTATTTCTAATTTTGTATTTTTGATAGCTGAGCTTATCAAAACTGCTGTGAAGGATTAAGACCTGTAAAATAAATCATCAATAAATTAGTAATTTAAATCTACTGTTACAATTCATATTCAAAAACATTGTAGGCTATTGATCTTTAAGTTAAAACTATTAGTACAAAATGTGTTCCACAAACAAAACACCACACTATTTTGGGGTTTTTGTTTTTGAGGTTAAAACAGAGAAGTGCTTAGTTTTTTCCTCCATATTGGCTATATTACAAATTTAGACATTAGCGTTAGAATTCCAGTGGTTTATGAACTTAACTGTAGCATAATGCAACCCTGTTAACCTCAAACAATTCACTCCTAGGCAGGTGAAATAAGAGGAAAGAAGTGTTAAGGACTAGAAAAATGTAGCAAAGCAATTAGGTGCATTGCTTGCTAAGTATAGTTCATTGTTAGTTGATGTAAGTCAAACAAAAGAAATGGCAGATGTTGGAGAAGAAATATTGACTAGATTAAATAAAGCAGCCTTTTGCTAAATTCCCAGGTAGAGGTGGTGGTGATAGTATGAATAACAATAGCTAATACTTGTTCATACTATGTGCCAGGCACTGTCTTAAGTACTTCACATATATAACTCATTTAATCCTCACAGATACTCAAGGAAATAGATGCTGTTGTCATCTCTGTTTTATGGATAAATGAAACTGAGTCACAGAGAGAAGTTTGTTAACTTACCCAAGGTTACACAGCTAATAAAAGGGCATGCTCAGATGTGAAGTGAACTTGAGCATATGCTCTTAAGCTCCCTGACTGGTAGCAGTAACTAATGTTAAAATACTGTAAGATTTTGGGACCAAAGTGGTTTAAAAATACTTGAGGAAAACTCAAAACAGGTATTTGGTAAGTATTGTGATCTTGGAAAGCTGCGTATCCTCTCTGCCTCAGCTTTTATCTTTACAATAGGGAAAGTAATAGTACCTCAGCTCATGGTTATTTTGAGGATTAAATTAATGTATGTGATGTGCTTAAAACAGTGGCTGACACTTAGCATTCAAATATAAACTATTATTTTTGGACATTTTCTAAAGAAGAAGCCAGTCAGTTAGTGAAAGCTGAGGAAGACAAAAGAAGGGGGCTAATTCAGCTGCATGTTTTGTATATTCACTGTGATCTCAAGTTAAAAGCTGGCTACTGTTGGTCTTTCATCCATTTATGTTGATGAGTCTTGACATCAGTAGCTGTCAAATAATCACTGGCTTGATACAACTTCTGAGATTCAGATACTAAAGGGGTTGACATAGAAATACCCCGTCTGTGTTTTTGCCTGTCATCCAGTAAGAAGGAAATGATTCAGTGGACTAAACTCTGTCATTTCTTTGAAGAATGAGAAAAAAAGATAATTGGAAGGCAGAACTGAGAGGCAAATGTGTATATAAGGAGAGTGACTTAAAAATTGATTTTCTCTTCAAGAACTGAAGAAACCCATGGGGTCTGAGCATTCTGCGTTGTGAACAAATGTAGAAAAAAATTAGTTGTTAAAGAATATTTATATTTATTCTTTTGCCTTTCTCGCCTTTGGA